CTAGTTTTGTCACATTTCCAAGTAGAGGTGGCCAAAACACAGGTCGGGCCCCGGGCCGACGGGCTCAAAATCATGGACCCGGAACCGGCACGGACTTATGCTCGTGTCGGGTCCATGGCCCAGCCCGGGCTGGGTCCGTCCAAATTAAGAAAACAAACAAAATATGTGGTTTTTCCCAGGCCGAACTTTGCCAGGGTCGAACAAACAAGGCCTTGGACCGGCTTGGTTAAAATCCAAGTCGAGCCCGTACTCGTACCCATGATCAACGGGCTTGATCGGGTGGTCATGTTTATATCCAAGTTGCCCCATTCATAAGTTAGTTACCATGCTTGGCAGTTGAAAGGTGGATTCCTTTGAAGGGATGAGGTTCAGATAAGCTTTGGGAGCTTGGTTTCATAGTAGAATGTTGGATTTTCTTTCCAAGAGTTAAGTTCCCAGTACAATGTTGGAATTCTTTCCAAGGGTTAGCAGTGACTGTCTTAGTCTTAGTTGGGGCTCCTACCTGCTTGCAACTGCTTTTCTACTCGCTTGATTGATTCCATGGGATCTGGGTATTCGTACCTAATACAAGGTGGCTGGCAATGCCATGTCCAAGGTCTTACCTGTTAGAAATCTGGGTGTAAAAATACACGGGAATCCTACGAACTGATATATATTTTTAGTTCTTACAAATAATCTAAAATAGAAAATTACAATTGAACTGAAAAATAAATTACAACTGAAAAATGAGTTAAAACAAAACGGAAAGATTTTAGCCGAGGCGAGTGAAACTCTTTCCGCAAGAAGAATAGGCCCCGTGTGGCAGCTAACGGTTCAGGCGTAACTTCTCCAAAGATACAACGACAAACGTCTCTAAATCTGTAGCACACCAGATTTATGAGCTTCGGCGAACTGAAACGGAGTCGAGAATTGAGCACTAAAAAATAGGAATAAAAATATCTCTCTTTTGCTATTTTGATAACAAATAAATATTTTTATATTTTTCTATTATTTCTTTTTCTCTATCTTTCTATTCTTTCCTTCTGTCTGGTACGTTCATTCAGTAGAAAGCACACATATTTATAGGGTTTATTGCACCAAACCCCCTGTATTATATGAAATATGCGCGTTTTACCTTGATATTTCAAAAATTGCCTCAAACCCCGTTGTATTTAATATTTACGGCGTTACTTTTTTGTTTAATTTACCATTATACCCTTACTTTATCAATGAATTTACGATTATACCTTACTGTCAACATGTAAACTTAAAATTAAAACTTCAAAGGTGAGGATTGAACTCTGTACCTTTGGGTTAGAAAAGGCATCTCCCAACTGGGCTACTCGACATGTAGTTGTAAATGTGATTCTATTTACATATATCTTAACATATAGAAAATATATAATAACATTTAATTATAAATAATGTATTAATTAAATATATAGATCTAAGTTATTAATAATATATTGATTAAGTATATATATATATATAATTAATTATAAATAATGTAATTGTTAAGAAATATTTTCTAACTTATAAATAATATAATAATTATGTAATTCGATTATAAATTACTAATATTTAATAATTAAATTAATATATTCTAAATTACTAATATATAATATCTAAATAAATTTATTTTAAATTATAAATATTCTAAATTGTAAATGATATAATAATTAATAAAATAGATTATAAATTTTAAAATAATATAATAATTTAATAAACAAATTC